GCTATTAAATACTGCCCAGAGGGTAAAATTTCACTTACACAGGAATACCATATTTCTTGAATATCAGTATTCCTGTGATGTTTTAATGTGTTGCCACATACGTGGAATTTCCTGGAATTACTGCTTGCTCCTTAGAAGAGTTCCTATTGAAAAGTTGCTACCAGGAATTAACATGGAAACTCCATTCCGCTGCATGGTCATCTCATTACTTATTCTGTCCACGGAACAGTGCAGTTCAGAACGCATATGGGGACAGGTGTCCAGATGAAGGGAGACATGCTCTACTGTGAATTGTGAAGCAGGGTATGTAGGCCAAGCACAGCTGCAAGGAAAGAGGAATTTCGCAGACTGTGTTCTTTTCCTTCGCTTCATCATCACCAGAGAATGTGCACAAATTGAAATAAAATCTGGTTAGGGCTTCCCTTCGCCTGCAGCTTCTCCCAGACGTTGCAGAGGAAGGTTTAAAACTATGGCTGCTCTAGAATGTCAAGAATGTGTGCAATGTTTAAAAGAAGGAGGCTTACTTTTCTTCTTTTGGGGGGTGGGGGAGGGAAGAGGAAATGAAATGGATTAGAGTTTTTCCACTATCTCAGAGCTTCCCACCACTTACTTCCCAGTAAAAAGTTATAAGGGCATTTTAAAAAAAGTTTAAACGCCTGATGCTTCTCTTGTAGTCAGCTGGTCCATGCCTCTCTCAAATGACAATACTTATCAATATTCAACCATTATAACATTCCTTTCTGGAAAAGTGTTATCACTCCAAGTGAACTCTCCTAGGGAATCAGGGTAAGTGGTATGGACCGGGTGAGACAAGTCTGACCAGAAGGAACCAGAATGAAGTTAGGCCACATATACAAGAAATCATGTGGTTGAAAGCACCGTGAAGTTTCTTTTCCAGGACACTGATATTTAATGGCATCAGAGCGATCACCTCTATAGCCATAGTAACAAGGGGGGAAGCTACTGCCATTCTCTGGACCCATGAACTACAGGAGGAGGCTCCTGATATCCAAAGATACTCAGTACTGAAAATGGGGGAGAAATCGGGTGCACTCAGAATGGAGATTGAAAGGGCGAGGACTACGTCCTCCATCTTGCCCCAGGGTAAGGGCTACGCCCTTCATCTTACCCTGAATCCTCCATTTTTTGGGCAGCCATGTGCTCGGCAAGACTTCTTCCCGGAAGCCCAAGCCTCTGCTAGCCACACCCAGGACTTCTTTAAACTAACCAATGACAATCAAGAGAAGTGCGTGCCATAGATATGACCATAACCTGTGTAACAAGACACCAACTTGCACCTGGCCAATCAGCAGGGCCCACAGTCCTTTCTCCTCCCCTTACTCCAACCCCCTATAAAACCCCTCTTCCCACAGGGCTAGCTCTCTCTCTGCCACTTGGCTTGCAGTTGCATCAGTGAGTGTGGTCGGGGAGCCGAGCTAGCTCGAATAAAGACTCTTTGCTTTTGCATTAGACTCGGCTGGCTCCCTGGTGGGCTTTTGGGGATCTTGAAATCTGGGCATAACAGATCAAAAGGAAATGAAAAAGTTTGAGACTTTATCTTAAAAGATAAAACTAGAAATTGTAAAAGCAAGTTTGTATGGTTTAACAAAATGTAGGTGATAACTGCATTCGTGTATGAGATCACAGAATGAACAAAGACTAAACCAAATACTATTTTTGTAGAGAAAAAGTGTGATATTTCCAACAAAATTATCTGATGGCTTGACATCTTTCACTTCACTTCCCCCCTACCCCAACAGCATAAGCAAGAAGACAGCCTGTTTGCAAAAAGTATTTGAGAACCAAAGGCCTCACCTAATTATTTTGTGTCATTTAATCATTTGATTTAAAAATAATTCTCATTTGAAACACCTATCAGAAAATCAGCCTAATACTTCACACACCGCCTGGTCTAATAGCGCCAGGAAGCCACATACTCACAGCTTAGCTGTACACCCAGCAGTTCTCCAACATCTCTCTCCCTGGCCTCATAAACTCCTGTCTCACCTTTTGCAAAGCTTGCAGTCTTGTTCTATAACCAATCTGTTCAATATCAAACACCCTGGGTAGACTGATAAACCAGGATAGGTGTCAGCATCCAAGCAGAAGGGATGTCTGAGTAGGGACCAGCTTCAAAAATGGTCAGGTCCTTAGTGAATATTTGTATGCTACGATGATTGCTTTCCTACACAATGTCCTCCTGCTCATGTCCCTGGAGGCTCAAATAGTGAACAATTTGGAAAATGAAGACCTATATTTTTAACCAATAAAATGAAGTTAATTCTTTTAGGCTCAAAGTCTATCAAGTGATCCTCTATTGGTGTTCTTAAAATTTCATGCAAGATTCTGAGAACTTATAGGAGGACTTATTCAATGAATGATCAGTGTCTAACCATTACAAAGAATCTTGAAATTTTAAAGTTTGGGGGCTTTTATA